GTTTTGACCCCACTGGAACGCATTGAACGGTTTTCAATGCATTTCAATGGGGTTTTTAATTTCGCTTTACGATGTTTTCGCTTAACAGCAATTTTCCTGGAATGGATTATTGTTGTTAAGCGAGGCACCACTGTATATTAAACCAGAAGCAGCTGGACTAAACTTACGGAGAGCAGGAACCACACAGCTTGCCCAATGGCTGAAGGCTGAAGAGTGGCTTCCAAGACTCTAGCTTCGTGATTCCCAACCTTAGGTCCTTGGGTGTTCCTGGGCACTAGTGGGCATGGACAAGATTTCCAGGAGTTGTAACCCAAGGCTGGGAACCACTGGTCTAGCAGGATCTGCATCTTACTTAATAGACTTCAAAGTGAAGTAAGAAGGTGAAAAACGAATCAAGTAAAATGGGGCTACTTGGATACAGGACAAACGCTCTGGGACTGTGGAGAAATTCAATCAATGCAGCACTAATTGAAGCCCTGCCACGTGAAAAAAGATCTAGCAAACGGCCGAAATAACACTATTAAAGTAGCCCACTTCTGCCCAAAAATAGTCTGTCTTATTTTTTTTAACTTGGTTTTACTTTTACCTCTATTTCAGTTTTGTCCGTCATTTTAAATTGTTCAATGCTCTGATACAAATAAAGACTGCTCAAATATCTTGGATTTGTATTCCCCCTCGTCTGTGTGGCTTCTCCAACAAGCAACATTGCATGCCTATGAAGCAAAAGAATTTATACACCCCTGGTGTTTCTAGAAGGGTCTATTCTATGTAGACACCCTGGTAAGTCAGGAGAGTTTGTAACAAAACACTCTTTTAAAAAACTGCATTCTTTCTTCAGTCGATGGACATTCACAAGGCTCACAATATAGTTTAGAAGAAAACATGTCCTCCAACTTTTTTTTTTAGACAGTCTTTCCTGTGTGGAGCCTCTGATGTGTCCGAAGTTCCGCTTTGCGAATGAAACCTTTTCCACACTCCTGGCACTTGAGCAGTTTCTCTCCTGTGTGAAGTTTCTGATGTGTCACGAGGTGTGCATTCTGAGAAAAACATTTCCCACATTCCTGGCACTTGTAAGGCCTTTCTCCTGTGTGGACCCTCTGGTGGATCTGTAGGTTTGAATTCTGGGCAAAACATTTGCCACATTTCTGGCATTTGTATGGTTTGCCCCCTGTGTGGACTCTCTGATGGTTCACAAGATTTGAAATCTGAGTAAAATACTTCCCACACTCCTGGCATCGGTATGGCTTCTCTCCTGTGTGGACTCGCTGATGGTTAAGAAGCTGTGAACTGTAAGCGAAACATTTCCCACACTCCTGGCATTTGTAGGGCTTCTCTCCGGTGTGGACTCTCTGATGCTTCACGAGGTATGAATTCTGAGCAAAATATTTCCCACAATCCTGGCATTTGTATGATTTGTCTTTTGTGTGGACTCTCTGATGTTTCACAAGCAGCGAATTGTGAAGAAAGCACTTTCCACACTCCTGGCATTTGAAGAGTTTTTCTACTCTGTGTACTCTCTGATGCTTCATAAGCTGTGAACTATAAGGAAAACATTTCCCACACTCTTGGCATCGGTATGGTTTTTCATCTAAGTGGACTCTCTGATGCTTCACAAGATTTGAATTCTGAGCAAAACATTTCCCACACTCTGGGCATTTGTACGGTTTCTCTCCTGTGTGGACTCTGTGATGGTTCAAAAGTTGCGAACTGTCGGCAAAACATTTCCCACACTCCTGGCACGTGTAGGGTTTCTCTCCTGTATGGATTCTCTGATGCTTCACAAGATTTGAATTCTGTGCAAAACATTTTCCACACTCTTCACATTTATAGAGTTTCCAACCCGTGTGGATTCTCCGGTGATTCATCAACTGCGAACTGTGAACGAAACATTTCCCACACTCTTGGCATTTGTACGGTTTTTCTCCTGAATGGAGTTTCTGATGGTTCAGAAGGCCTGCCTTATGAGCAAAACATTGCCCACACTCCTGACATCTGTAGGGTTTCTCTCCCGTGTGGACTCGCTGGTGGATTATAAGATTTGAGCTCTGAGAAAAACATTTCCCACACTCCTGGCATTGGTAGGGTTTCTCTCTTGTGTGTACAGTCTGATGCCTTGCAAGTTCTGAATTCCGAGTAAAACCTTTTCCACACTCCTGACAAAGATGTAGTTTCTTCCCTGTGTGTACAATCTGATGAGTCACAAGATCCGACTTCCGAGCAAAAGATACTCCACACTCTTGGCATTTGTACGTTTTCTCTCCCGGAGGTTCTTTCTGGGGGCCCATACAATTCAAACTGGAATTCAGTTTTCCTCTGGATGCTTCACATGGAGTACTTTCCTTTGCAATGTGAAGCATCATCTTTTGAGCAACATTTTCCCCACCTACAGTGCATAGGTGTGTTGTTCCTCTGGTGTTCCTTTCTTCTTCTGTGTCAGCTTGCTGGTCTCTCCCTAGGCCCAAATGATAGTCAAATCCCTCCTCATTCTTCACGCATACACCTGTTTCCTTCCAGTTCTCACCTGGAGAGGAGGAAAAAGACAAGACAAGATTGAATTCCATTTTTGAGTGAAAGAACCTAGGGATAAGGACACTGTGTCCCTTGTGTTGCAAAAATGTTTGTTTTTCCCCTGGCAGGTCCAATTTGATCTGTACCCAAGAGAGGAGTAAAGCCAATACTCCTATTTAATGTTCTGCGCAGAACACGAGGAAACAGGGAATGGCTTCTAAATCCTATGCCTCTCTGATTGTTATTTTTGAGGCATCTGTAGAGTAGCTCAGCCACATAGACTGACAATCATTGTCATATTTGCAGGTACACAATGCATGTTCATTCGTATTCATTTCTCGATAACCTCATAAGATCATTAACAATAGGCTGATCAAAGCAAGGTAGAGCTACTCAAAAGCATGAAGCTTGAGCAAAATACGTCATCTCTCATCTGGTGCCCCCTTCCACCAGAAATACTCCCTTCCTTGTATCTCAGGCACAATCCAAAGAAACAAAGCAAGCCAAAAACATCTGGCGCCTTAAAGACTATTGTACTCTAAGGTGAGCTTTCATGGATTCCGTCCACTTCTTCAGACATATGGCATAAAGTGAAATACAAAATGAAAACACATAATTCGCAAGGAAAACATTGAAAACACTCATAGGCTTTAAGAGTCTTGGGTGTGTGGCTTCCATATCACATGCAGTAATTTATGGCCTGTGTTTGATGTTACGATCTATTGTTTCATCCCTGGAACAATATGGCATAAAGTGAAATACAAAATGAAACACATAATTCGCAAGGAAAACACTCAAAGGCTTTAAGAGTCTTGGGTGTGTGGCTTACATATCACATGCAGTAATTTATGGCTTGTGTTTGGTGTTACGATCTATTGTTTCATCCCTTCCTTGTTTCATCCCTGGAACGATTTGTTTGCTACTTACTCTTTGACCTTAGTTCCCAGAATGCCTGGAAATTAATCACATTGGGTCCAGAGGGAAGCTTCCTCTTGCAAGCATCAAGAGTTTCAATACAGTGGTGCCTCACTTAGCGATGTTAATTCGTGCATCAAAAATAGCTGCTATGCGATTTCATCGCTAAGCGATATTAAAAAGCCCATAGAAATGCATTAAAATGTGTTTAATGCGTTCCTATGGGCTTAAAAACTAACCTTATGCGAAAATCCTCCATTGCGATGGCCATTTTCGGTGCCTCTAAAGCAAGGCAACACAGCAGGCGGCCATTTTGGGACCGCCGATCAGCTGTGCGAAAATGGGGGCTTTGCGATGATCGCTTCCCTGCGATCATCACACAGCGAATTTTCCCCATAGGGAACATCGCAAAGCGATTGCTTTTGCAATCACAAAAACAGCGTCGCAAAGCAATTTTTTCCTTAAAC